TGGTCAAGCTTATAAAATTTACTTATTTAGAAAAAAACACTTTTGGGTAAAAGTTTTTTTTGAAAAACAATTTTCAAGCGTATTCATTTGTATTTAGATATATTAATTTAAAAAACGTTTTTGCCCGTTAATCAAGATTTCAAATGTGTTTTCAAAAAAAAAAAGTCATTTTTTCTATCTTCGGAAAAATAGTTTCGGATACTACTCAAAAACACTTATATTCCTCCTAAAAAATTGGCTAAACACCTCAAAATACTAAAAACTATTTAATTTTCTAGAAACTTGGTTAAATAAACTAAAAATATAAAATCAAAATACATTTTTCACATTCAACATGTAGTCAAGTACTAATATTTTTATTCCATAGACCAAATATTATTTCATAAAGTAGTTTGGACATTCCCAAATGCATTTGGCACAAAAGCCTACTTAATTGAACAAATCCCAAATTCTTAGAGAAAATATTCCATGACTCAAATATTATTATTCTCCTACTTGTGCCCTAACACCATTACAAATATGAATAAACATATTGTTTAGGTAAGGCACACATTATTGTAGTTTACTTATTTAATTAATAATTATACGCCAAAGGCCATGTCCTCCTAAATTATTATCACAAATTTAGTTATGAAATGTCACAATTTCATAATACAACCCCACATGAGCACCGCCCTTTGAATATGATCTTCCCATGTTTTCCAATAAAGTATCTTTCTTCCCAATTTCTTTTTTAACTTATATTAAATTAATAAATATCCAGTATATGTTTTCTATAATTGTACATCATTGAACTCTATATATCATTGGTATGGTAATAAAAAAATTTCTTAAACTTATAAAGGGAAATTAAGGTTTAATATATAGCAATTATCTCAACTCCTAATAAAGTGTTTATTTAGATAATTTTAATTCAAATTTAGAAGAACAAAAAAATGTTTGTGTGTGTTTTTGTTAATTATTAGGTTAACTACATAATGTATATCATATTCTTTAATTATATATATATATAAGTTAAGAACGTGCAGAATTTTATGACTTATTGAAACGAATGTGTATAATTAAAGGAAATGACATATTTTAGATGGTTAACTTAAATATCTAATACATAAACGGAATATATGCAAAAAAAAAAAAATCAAAAGAAATTAATTAAAATATTTTATTAGAAATTGAAGTATTTCGAGTGTGTCTAAATAGAATATCCTAACAAATTTACGGAATTGGCCATGTATTATAGCTTTCCAATTTAGACATAATATATTTTAGGGAAAATTGTATATAATAGCAAACTATTAATTCAATTTAAATGATATAAATATACTTTGATTTAATTGTACCCTATAGCAAACTATTGCTAATTTCGCCACTCTCCCTGGTGGAATCTCGCTGCCACTCTCGTTTGGTGGCAGTCTCGCTCGCCTCTCTCAATTTTATACAAACACAAATGTATAAAATGTGTTTGTGTTTGTATAAAGTGGGAGGAAATTGTATATATACATATATTTTCGTTCCCCTCTCTCCCCTCTCCCAGATCTCGCTCGCCACTCTCCCAAATCTTGCTCACCACCCTCGCCTCTCTCGCTTATACAAACAAAAAACGAAATGTATAAATTGTGATTCTGTTTGTATAAAGCGAGAGAAATTGTATATACACATGCAAATACATTTCTCGTTTTATACATACACAGATTATACAATTGACCTTTTATATACAATTGCTTTCTTTTGTATATGTATAGCGAATTATACAACCGCCTTCTTTGTATATGTATAGTGAATTATACAACTGTTTTTTTTTGTATATGTATAGCGAATTATACATATATATGTTTGCTATGGAGCGCAATTATGCAAACTTTGTTATAGCATACAAATATGAATTTTGTATTTGCTATATGTGAAAGTTGCTCTATATTTTAACTAGCTTAAAAAGAAAACAAAAACTAATGGGATTAAAAAATTGACAAAAACTTATACCGGATTGAATTAAGGATACATGTGTATGTGTAATCTACGGGGAGTGAGTCACTAAATCAATAAGCTTTTTAAAAAATATTTTATTCTTGAAAAAAACTTTTGTAGCCACATATTTTTTAAGAAACAAGAATATTTTATTTATGTTGATAAAACAATATCGATAGTTCGGTACAAATCTATTTGCTCCTTTAATTTTTCTCTCTGATTTTTTTTTTCGCAATTCTAAAATTGTTAGTAGCGTATTATTCGAACATTGAATGTTTATGTAATATCCATATAAAACGAATCTTGTAGATCTTTCTTAAAATGTTTTATCAAAGGAATTCAGTATATCTTAATCTCTTTATAAATATCTTTTAACTATTCAAAAAATTTAGCTAGATGGGAATTATTACATATTTAAGAGGTAAATACTTAATGTATCAATTATATTTTATACTTAACTAAATAATTAATCATAAGAGTAGCTAGAGCTGTCAAAAAGGGCCGGCCCAGCCCACCCGGTCCAAGTCTCGCGGGCCAAGGAATTTGAAGGGCTAGGGAGGGCTAGCCCTTCATTTGGTAGGGCCTGAAAATGCTCAACCCAACCCAACCCTAGAAGGGTCGAGGGCTAGGGCGGGCTAGCTCTTCTTTTTATTTTTTATTTTATTTTTTTTCTTTTCAAACTCGTAATTCTATAACATCAAGATAATGAGAAGATTTTCAAATCAAATATGGCAAACAATGGTGTTGTTTCAATAACACTAGCAAAAATTTAGTGTAATTAGTATGTATTTCGCATACCAGATATGTGAGTGAGATAAGAGAGTGACAAGCAAGATGGGAGGGAGGCGAGAGCGCGAGATTTGTATATGTATCCTAGATACATGTGAATCTACTTTGATAGAGTATTTCTTGAACAAATTAACATAATTTTGAATCCATATATTCTGAGTTACATGTATCTGGATACGAAAATTCATAATATTACAACATAGCGTGTATTCAAATTATTAGATTATATACTAGTGAGATTATTGTAAATTACTCTTGAATAAAAAGTTTTGGCCCATGGACGCCAACCCTGCCCAGCCCCGATCATGCCTCAAAGGCCAATGACTTATATGGGCCGAGCTTATAAGCCCTAGTTTTAAATGGACTTGAAAAATCTTATCTCAATCCTATCCTAATAACGGGTAAAGTTGCGCCGGCCTCATGACCTGAGCCCATTTTGACAGCTCTAAGAGTAACAAACTAAAGTGAAGATGTACAATATTTAGTCGTGATTAAATATTAACAGTGTATATGCATACAATATATATGTCTTATTTATTATTAAGTACAAATACAAATATAAATATAAATATAAATATTTAACACTCATTTATTTTGAATCTTGCTATTTTTATCGTTCTATTTTCTTTCAACTTTGTTTTGCAAACTCATCTATTATTATAGGTTAGCTTACAAATTTCAACTCTTGTCCATATTATGATATACGTAAAATTACGAATTTAAAAATGTCCATTTATTTGGAAAATTTTGTTACCAAATAAAATTAGGTTAAATAAATAGAAACGGAACGAATATATTATTTTTGAAGTAGACATAAAAGAATTTAATTACAAAATAGCAACATGTATACGTGTAATCTATGGGGAGTGAGTCACTAAGGGTACGTGGCAGTGTTTTAGTGTCCCCACCATAACAGTTGCCGTTAAATCAAAACGGCAATTTCCTTGTCGTTTTGTTCTTTTTTTTAAAATAATTTCGAAGCAGCCCCTGGTTTCCAAATTTCTAGGTCCTATTAGACTACTTTATAAACTATGGTTAAAGATTTATTTCTCTATTTGAATTTTTCCCACTTGCTTTGGTCAAGAAAATTGAATTCCCAAGGAATTGACAATGTCTTATTTACATACTCATCCTTTATACTTTTCATGATTTTGCACTTTGGTGACCTTGAATATTGAGATATTTTCTTCTAAGTTACCTATTTTATGGAGAGAAATAATCATGTTAATTGATTCAGATATGTGAAGAAAAGGTGGTTAGATAGTTCGAATATGAAAATGTGAGAGGCTGATTATAGTAGGAGTTAGAAGAGATAAATGAAAATAAATTCAATGTAATTTCACACCGTGAAGTCTGAAAATGATTGAGTGTAAAAAGATTTTATTTTTGCTTTGGAGATAATTAGATAGGACATGATATACATTTTAGTTAAGGATATAACTCGAGATAAGAAGGTTTGGAGGCTAATGATTAGGGAGGAAATAGTAAGTAGTCGAGTGTTATAGCACTTTATGTGAGATAAGTAAGAAGTTATTTAGTAGTTGCCTCGTTTGTTTTGCATCTTAATATTTTTTTATTGTATATTCTTACAATTATATCTCATAAACATTTGTTTGGAGCTGATAGTTTATAAAAAACACCTCTCTATCTACAAAAGTCATATTGCAATATGCGTCTATTCAATCTATTACTTTATTTGTGAAATTGTACTGATGTTCTTTTTTATTTATAAGTAATTTTAAAATAATTTCAATAAGTTAAATCCTTTTTCAATTCTCAATTCCCAAGGATTTACCTAAGAAACTTCTTACTATATATGCTCTAGTTTTTTGGAGCACAAGAACATAAATATTCTAAAAATATGATAAATGATATTTATATATCATTTATGATAGTTCAGAAATGTATTTGTCTTTTTTCCCTTACATATATAAGAAGTTCAAATTGTTAAAAGTAAAAAATATGTGTTGAGTGAATTGACATGATGGTGCCTAGGGGTGTTTATCATTACTTAACTATCAAGTATTAGCTGTATTATTATTATTATTATTATTATTATTATTATTATTATTATTATATATCATAGTAATGCATTTTGGACCAAAAAGCACATTCCAGAAAGTTAAAGGAGTTGCACACGCAATTAACAATAAAATATCCCAACCCAAATATGAAAAAGGAAAAAAGAAAAAGAAAAATTGGAGTCCTATAAATAGATGCCTTGAGTGGTGCTAAGGTTTGCCAAATCAAATAGCCCAAACCGGGTCTAAAGAAAAAAGAAGAAAAATCTTCCAGTTTTTTTTCCCTCTCTCTCTTTCTTCTAGATTCCTCTGCTCCTTACAGTTTTTTAATCTGACAACAACAATGGCGGCTTCTACTAGGAGGTCAAGCGGACCGGTAATGCGTTCACTTTCACCGGCCGGAAAATTCTATTCACCTAGCCAGAGGAATTCGTCGTTTTCGTCGACGTCTTCTGCTTTTGCTTCCTCAACTTCCGGTTTTTCCACCGGTTCACACGCTATTCTCCACAGATCTACGTCTCCGAATCGTGTGAATTTATACAGCTCTAGGTCGTCGTCTCCGGCGTCCTCTATACGGTTCTCTCTGGACCGTTCTACTTCACCGAGCCGGTCTATTTCTGCTGTGAACCGGAACCACGTGGTGCAGAACCGGAGTCAGAAGAAGTCGTGTATGTGCTCACCGACGACACATCCAGGTTCGTTCCGATGTAGTCTACATAAGAATAGGAGTGGTTCAGGTTCAACCGGTAGCCGTACGGCGGCTACCTACAGTCCGAATCAGTTGATTTTGAGGCGGTCCGCGATGACGAACTCGCTCGTGAGAATCGGAACAGTAGAAGGTGATTTGGTGAAAAGAGCTTTGGCAGCTTTGATTCGTCCTTCTTCTCATCAACAACGCCGCCGAGCTGATTTCCAGCGTAGACCTAGCCGGCTCTCCGCCATGTCCAAAGCCGATGATTCGTAAGGCAAATTAGCGATGGAGAAGGACTCAGTGGAGGTCCGAACGGAACGGTTTTTTGTGTACTCCGGTGGCCGAAACCCTAAGATCCGACTGTATATAGACTCTGATAGTTAAATATTTTAATTTTTTTTCTATTAACATAAACTAAATCATGAAATTTTGGCGTTGCTGTTCATGAAAGCTTCCATTCTCAAAAATACAGCCTCCTAAGGCTCAAATTAAAATTGATCTAAATTTAATTGACATGATAAACCGGAATTTAGTCTCTTCAAGGTGTTTGATTATCATCAATTCATCATCCAATTATCACATCCATTCACTTTCATGTCATCGACATTTTCCCGGTCGTCGTTTCCGGCATCTTTGTGGCCGTTCTCCGTTTCCATTTTGGCCATTCTCCGTTTCCTGTTTCCTATTTTAGCCGTGATGTACGCCGCATCCGTCCGTATTATACGTATACGTATTATTTTTCCGTATACGTAGGAGTAAAATATACGTTTATTTATTTTTATTTAAATCATTAATATCTGTCATTTATTTATTTGTGTATTTTTTTTATGAAGTTTCTGGTACTGACTCTGTTTATTGTTTCTTATGTTTGCAGGTATTTTTATTTTGCTGGGTAAATTCGTTTGGCCGGACTTAAACATCAATCAAGGACATTATTGGGGGACCAATTTGGACAAAATTTGAATTAAACTATACTAAAAGTACTAACATTAAGTAATTGATTTTAAAAACAAACAAATTAGAATTAAATATACTAAGTACTAACAATAATATTAATTAATCCTTTTTAATTTCTTCATATTTTATACCTCTTTTAACAACAAAGATACTCCCTCCGTTTAAAAAAGAATGACTTAGTTTTTTTTTTAGTTTGTTTCAAAAAGAATGGTCATTTTTCTTTTTTGGCAATATTTTAACTTTTTCACGTGACATGTTTAAGGCCACAAAATTAAAGGATATTTTGGTACTTTAACGTAGCTTTAATTTAGAATCACAAGATTAATTTTTTTTTTTCTTTTTTTAAATTTCGTTTCAAGTCAAATTAAATCATTCTTTTTTTTAAATGAAAAAAATAAAATAAAATCTGATTTGACGATTAGTGCCCACAAAGTCGCTGAGAAACAAAGTGCACAGTTAGCAGAAAGTTGGGAACAACATAGTATAAGAGAGTACACAATTACAGCTAACTATGAGCTAAAATCCATTAAACTATCAATAAGATATTTTTAATTAGAGGTTCTAGATTCGAGTCATGGATATGAAAAAGTTTTTAACGAAAATTTTCAGAATGAATTTGATGCAAATTTAAATTAATCGAACCCTAATATATTCGAACATCTGAATGAAAAAATGAAAGAAATAAAATATGAATACTTGTCATTATCTCAACATCTACAATTTTCTTACCAATATATACACTAACGTAAGCACCAAGAAGGGGGAAAAAGGAAGACGGGGAGGGTGGAATATTTATGGAGGAATTTTTTAATCACAATTTCAATAGTTTCAAACCTATTTTTAACGACTTTAACTCTACTTAAATTTCCTTCATTATAGTATTGCTTCCTAATTTAAATATAGTTGATATTATTATTATCATCATTTCAAGTGTCAAACATGTTGCTAACCCAACTAGTAGAGTATATAATTTGCAACTATACTAATATTAGTTTATGTGATTTCTATTATATATTAAAAATATTTTTTTTTGTTTTAAGAAATTGAAAAGGTCGACGTGAAGTAGCATTGAAAGGTACACCAAGAAATAATTTTTTTGAATTTGACTTTTATTCTTTATTTATTCAAAAGTATATCCTTAAAATATTGTTTGGTTATAAGTTAGAATAGTTTTTCAATTAGATTTTTCAAGTAAAAAGATTTCCGATTACAAATTTCAAATTTCAAATACCATCATGTAACTTAAGCTGCTTCTTCTTTATTTTCAAAAAGAAAAATCTCATTCAATTTAGGTCCAAACGCTTAATTAAAGATTATAATTTTTTGAAAGCCTCTGATCGAAATAGATATATGATATTCTCTTTGTCTTAATTTATATGACATCATTTTTTAAGTCAGTATAAAAACAACGATATAGTTCCTTATTTGAAAAATATGTAATGATACTATTATCGTTTTACCCTTATCAAAATTTATTTATTTGGTGAAAAAAATCCACAGGAGTGTACTTCAATTAATTTCTGTTAAAAAAATATTTATCTTTAGAACGGTTCCGAAACATCAATTTTTTCCATTTCTTAAATTTCGTATTCAGTTAAACTACATCATATAATATTAAATGATAGAAGTATTATATAAATCGACAGAACAATAACAAATAAATGTTTCCTATTATACAAACAGTGTCCGTTGGCAATAAGTAGGAGCCACACAAATAGATACAATTCTTATGCAAGATAGTGCAATAATTTCTTAAGTAGAATCCAAAAAGTAAATAAATGTCAGTCTTAAATAAATAGGAACCACCAAAGAAATCTACTTATATTAGGTGTATATATATATATATATATTCTATGGGGTAGGAATTGGATGAAAAAACTGAAATTCAAAGAATCAAGATAAGGTTCTGAAAATAAGGTTTGTGGATGTATATATATAAATTATAATATATCTTGTGAATAATAATTTGCCTTTCTTTATTTTGTGGCTCTTTTCTTTTCCACAAAAAGAAAAAGAAGTGTTCGAATGTGACACATTATTGTATCGTTTGATAGCTGGTTAGAAGATAAATAACTCTCTCTTAAATGATCACCTTTATTTATAGATGGCGGCTATTGAATGTGATAGAAGAATCTAGATTTTTTTAGCTCATGGATATGCAGCATTTTTAGAAATTGTTATAGGCGTGATTTTTTCTCCTTATTTAATACGTTTCAATTATAAAATATCTAAATCAGTTAAAAAACATACAACACTTAAAACACATGTATTTGAGATATACTGTAATCACGCAAATCAAATACATGCGTACGGAACTAATCTCAAATAACTTATGTAATTATTTAAACTATTGTTTCATTGAGTAATTGTCATTTATGATAACATGATTTGAAAAAAATCCTCAATTTTAATTATGGAAAAAGGGTCTGATATACACCTTAACTTTGTTATATAGAGCTGATATGTCCCTCGTTATGAAAGTGGCACATATATATCATTATCGTTATACAAACGGTTCACATTTATCCCGACTGTTACAAATGAGCTCGCATATACCCTTCATTTAATGGAAGTAAAAAAATTAGTTTTAAATTTATATATTTGACTTTTAATTTTTTTTAAATTCATGTAGGGATATATGATCCTTCTAACAAAGTTTAAGGTATATTTTAATCCTTTTCATACACAAAATTGTTGTTTGACTTCTTTGGTTATTATGATTTGAGTTTCTTATTTTTTTTTTCTTTCATTCTTTAGTTTAAAGAAAAAAAATTTAAAACTAATTTTTTCCAGGTATATTATTGTAATTAGTTTTTTTATTTGAGAAAAAAAATTGGATTATCTATAATAAATTTTACAAGAAAATTTGTGTAACATAAATAAATTTGACCATTAAAATAATAATTTAAAATTACTCACTAAAACAAAAAATGTAAAAAAAAAATCGTGTGAGGAGGATTAAATTAAATATACTCATATGGCTTATATATATATATATATATTTAAAATAATTAAAAAATTAAATCAAAATTAAAATTTTCACTTTCATTAAGAAGAAATGGTATATGTGAGTTATTTATATAACCACATGGATATATATGGATCACTTTCATAACGAAAAATATATTAACTCTAAATGACAAAATTAAGGTGTATATCAGAACTTTTTCCCCGTAATTATTGTGGCCTTAGGGATTGGAAATTAGGCAAAAAGCAAAAGCCCAAGCCCACTAATAGAAAAGGTGTGGGCCCATAATAAATAGTAATGTCACTTTTATATTTGACTACTTTAAGAAATTCAGTTGGAGATTACGTCTAAGGGATGGCCTACAAGGATAAGGTTATCTACAATGATGCAAGGGATTATCCATTTAGGAAATAAGATGAAAGAATCAAATCAACTACTAATAAAAACTTTAATCCTATAAGATAAGCTTGCCAATAATTTAAAATAGCATGATGCGTCTAAGAGGGTATCAATATATTGTTATCCTTTAAAGACCAAGATAGTGTTTCAGGAAAGTTATTTCATTTCGAATTTTAAATAAAAGAAAATAATTATTCAAAATTCTTATGTGTTTTACTTATTGATTTGTAGTCGAAGATATTTTAAAATTAACTTTTCTATAGGTGAACAGAGAATAATTTTATATCAATTTTAATAGCTCAAAAAGTATTTTGATACTTTCCTATACACTAAATAGGTTTAAGTAATAACATCTGAACTCATAAGACTACATGAGCTATAGGTTTAGTGTTTCACGAACTATAAATATATTTCAAATCTTAATTTCACTTTCATCGAAATCAATATTTCTATTATTTTACTATCAATTATCTTATTTCAAATAAAACAAAATAGAAAGAACGCGAAGTGCTAACGCTGTATAATACCTAATGATAATGTATGTCCAATGTACAAGCAACTAAGATGCTTATAGAGGTTTCACTTTTTTGGTGCAAAAGGGATAAGGATAAAGTTTTCTATTAGGTCCCATCAAATATATTGTGGGCTAGCTATGTTATACATATAGCTGGTTTTCCATTATAGCTTAGCAAATGCCACTAGGAAATTTAATATTTGCCTTGTCTTGTCCTTGGTTTTATTAGTTGTTATTGTTGTTTTGTCTTTTCAATTTCTAGTAGTCAATTGGGAAGTGGAAGTACAAAGTTGAATTTTTAGACTTGTGTATACAAATTGAAAATGTATCAAAAAGTAGTGACACTTATAAAAAGAACAATTCTTTCTTGTGAGACCATCTCCAACCCACCTTCATTTTACTCTCTATTCTCTATATTTAAAAAGTAAAATAGAGAATGGGCACTCCAATCCATCTCCATATCACTCTCTATTCTTCATATTTAGAGAGGTGAATAGTAGTTCTCCAAATTTGGAGAACTACTATTCACACTCTCTATTTCACTTTTTAAATATTTTATTATTATTTTTATTACTTTCTAATTAATATATTATTTTACATATAATGTCATTA